TCCAAATGTGTATTTTCAATTATGAACATGGGCCTCCGATTGCCTAGAGCCTCGAACACATTTCATGCCCAACAATGTCACCATGGAAACAAGTGAAAGGAACATTGAACACACAATCCTCGGCCGGCGGTGTGTGTGCGAAAGAAAGATTTTAAGCCGCCATTGTTGTTCTGAGCATGTATATAAATTAACAACACAAATTTGACATCAAGAATCATTTAACTAATTTAATATCCGTGTCACGACCCTTCAATGGTCCATTCATACGTGATAGGAGGAATACCCGTGATGAGAAGGTAGTTCAGAAAAAATGTGCAGTACTCAAAGGACAGTGCCAAACATAGTTCGGTTGCAGCAGCTCTAGTGGACAAACAAACTCGTTTCACAACTTTGCTAGTGCCAGCTTTTTGTTAAAAAAAAAAATAAGTGCCTCACAGCTCTGCCGGGGAGCCAGCAGAAGGTCCTGCGAGCAGGCCACTGATATTATGGACCTCCCCCAAAACTTGCAGGGATTAGCAGATATTTGTGACGCGGAGCATGTTGCTTTAAAACCTCCATAGTGTTAATGCATCAGAAAGCGCCAAGCGACCTAGATGACCGTGACAAGGTCACTTTATTTTTCTTCATATATTAAAAACAAAGAAGGAGATAAGGCTTCTTCAGTTTGGTTTTGCGCTCGGAGCTCCACGTTCCTAAAGCTCGAGCTAGTCGAACTGTGACCCTTCAACAGCCTTTAACACTGAAAGTTTTGAAAGCCTTGGAATATTTTATCCCATTCATTTTGCCGTAGCAGATTGCAACTTTGGAAGCCATAAGGTTTGAATGTCTCACCAAGTATGATACATCTGTGAGAAGTGGGCACTTACTGCTGACTGCTGCCAACCTGACTGGAGTCAGGGCCCCCTCGGCCACGGCGCCCTTGAAGCGCCGTCATGGCATCCCTCACACTCGGCCCATGCAGGTCCTCCCTGCCGAAGATCAGCTTCGTGGCCTCTTTAACGAAGATGGAGTCTCCCCGGGCTCCCCTGACGTAGGACAGTTTGTACTTTTGTACCAAGACACCGTGGCCAAGGTGAATTTAGAAATAGATAGAATGCTCTACAGGAAATGCCAGCCAGCCATTGGTCCCAATCTTGATTTTTCGGAAACTTGTGCAGACGTGTGCCGCACAATGACACTTTTTTCGGACGCAGGACATGCGAGGCAGCTCTTCACGCAACATCTTGGTGGAATTCTTTTCGGAGCTTATCACGGAAATTCACCACGGGCACTCACTACTCATCTCCAACTTGTCAATGTACAGAACAACTCATCTTGAAGTGCAGAACAGAGAGCGGAACAAATATAACTGCAAAGGAATCGCATAGCAAACAGTTCCAGCCATGCATGTCGTCTGCTATACACACACACAAAAAAAAAAGGACACGGAAGGGAAAACAAAAAGCTCAGTCGGGTGCAGCCACGTGACCTCTCCCACCCACTCTCTCCTCTCCACTTCTCCGACCTCCGTGCACGGGTTTCAGTTTCGGTTCTGGGCAGTTGCGTTTTCTGGCTTTAATAAAAATATATGTGACTCTGTTGCAAAATATTAATTATGTAGTCTTTTGACACCGTAATAGATCGCCTTGCAAAAAATGAAACTTTTGGGTGGGGGGGGGGGGGGCGGGTGTAAGTGTCCGTTTTTAGGTGAGTTCTGAGTAAAGAGGAACATAAAAGAAGGGTACCAATTATAACAGAATTTTAATCTGGGCTCGTGATACACGATTTATGAAAAATATCGAAATAAAATGAGGACACTAGATAGAAAACGTTTCAGAAAAGCACCAATTAATTGGGAAGAAATATCTTATCAATGCCCGGTTCTACTCTTTACATTCATCAGCATTTTGAAGCAGGACGATGGTTCAATTTAAGAAAGCATGCAAATAACCTCATTCAAGGTGCTGTGGAAACCATAAAATGTAGTCACTTGCGCAATATCTGAAATGAATATTCAATGAAATTCTGTACTTACCTCATCATCAACCTCTGCAAGCACTGGCATACACTCGGGAGGTGCCTCCGGTAGGCCTGCTCCAAGAACCGCTGCTGGAACAGCAGCATCAGCGGCCGGTACGGGTCGAGCGTGATCCACACCAGCTCGTACAACGTGAACTGGAGCAGGAGCGCCAGCTGCAGGATCTGCTGCTGGGCAAGCTGGAGGAGCTGACCCAACACCGCCAGACGGGAGTTTGTCCACTGCAACATAATAAAACACTGTTTAGAAACAAGATACGGTACAGGAGTCGAGAGATTTTTCGGAGGCCAAAAATTCAGACATGCTTGGTTATTCGGACTTCAGCACTTTTCTGGTCCGTTGATGGCATGAGGGATGGCATGACAGAAGACTGTCGACAGTGTGCCCATTTGTTTTTCCGTAACACACCGGGGCTGGAAAACTGGTGCGAGCAGAACACACAAAAAAAGGACGAGACACAAAACCAAAAAATAAAAAAAGGAAAAAAGAAAATGCAATCAAATTCGCCGGCAGTGGGCGGCAGAGAGCATGTTTACAAAGAAATACCGGTGAATAGCTAATGAATATTCATACCTAGCACTTCCGACGGTTTGCGAGATATAAGCTCAATCTTTCTGACGAAATCCAATGCTGTAGCAGATCATCTGGCCATCTTTTAACCAGTTGCACAGTTGCGTTGCTAGGCAAAATCTGTCGCCCGATTAAAGTTCAGCCTTGTTGGTGCTGTGGTCATGCCTACGACCAGCTTCTTCACTCCCTCCTCCTTAACGAAAAGAACTCCTTTTTCCCCAATGACGAAAGGACGTGTGCTGGCCGGGCTCATCGGAAAGTGCATATTTACAATGTTGTAACCGACATAACAAACTTTCACTTCAAGCCTCATCTATGCGCACAGACCATGGTGTCTTGGGATGGACATGATTGTTTGACGAACTGCAAAAAAATATTTCTTCGGTCAAAACAACACTGCTGCCAAGCAAAACGGGGTCATCGCCATCAGCAACAAGAAACAAACTCTCAAAGCTCCATTTGCACCCTAAGAGAAGAAAAGAGAATTATAGACGCCAACTCGTTTATACCTTGAGGCCACCCTGTAGTATATGCTTACTTCTGTTTGCGAGCAAAGAAAATTAAAGTTACTTTTGATCCCTCGGATAAAGTGTGAGCACATGTGTCGTGTGTGAGGTGGGCAACAACTGAAAGTGCCTCCACGCTTACCCAGTAGCGCCAGCAGCTGCTACTGCAGTCTTCTTGATAGCGTCCTCTCCATCTGGAGCTCCTGCTCTAGGTTCACAACCCTCTGCTTTGCCGACCGCAGCTTTTCAACCAGTCAGGCATGCTCCACAAGCGACATAGTGGACGTCTTGTCCTCCGTCTTCTTTTTTCTTGTACTTGCCACCCACTGCAGGGGATGGCGACATCTCAATCTGGAAAAGAAAAAAGGTCCACGGATTTCAATAATCATTTAATATAAACTTCCCATACAGGATTCGGACACACATAGTTCATATTAAATTGCCCCCCCCCCCCCCCCCCGTTTATTTTCTAGGTGTATGTTTCATCCCTATACCTGTGATTGCTCCCTCCCCCTGAAAGAATGCTTCCAGATGCCCATGAACATATTTCTGGTATTCACTGTCATTTCAGGAAATAATTGCTACATCGTCCTTTAAACACTCTAGTGTGTAAAGGACGATATGTGTATCTGTTTGGGCTACGTGTACCTGTTGGCAGAAAACACTGTATAGGTAAACGAAATAGTATGATAAAATATTGTGTTAAAGGTACTTCTCAGTTAGTTAGAAAGTAAATTATGATTATACTACTTTGCACCCAGTGTACTTTCTATGAGGTACGTAAACTCTCAGTTACTTTGTACTTGCAATCCAGTACTTTTAAATACGATAGCATTTATAAGCAAACCCTATGCACTTTAGGCCTCCATTGGTCCGAGGATTTGTAACTGCTTTTGAAAACATCATTTGCAGGCACATTATAATTCAGAAAAGAAAAACATGCCGCCGGCACTGTGCCTCAAACCCACAACTGTTGGGGTCTAAGCCGGGCATCGTATCTGCTTCACTACGAGCACACATGGGCAAGCATTTCGAAAGAGTTACTGGGTGCAGGCAAGAGCTGCGTTGATGCACGTGCCAGTGACTCAACGCCGTTGTTGCCATAGCAATGAGTGTCACATCTGGTCGCAGTGGCGCATAGCCACATCTGAGGAGAGCTCTGTGAACCAGACTTGAGCATCATCTATCGTTGTCGGTATGCGAAAGCAAGAATTACCAGAGGAGCATACACACAAGCATGTTGAGGCACTGCGACAGCAAAGTGCCTAGGGCACTTCGGGACAACATGAGACATGTTTGTTGAAAGCTAGAGAGGAAAGTAGCAACAAGAGGACCATCGAAGCGGATGAAAAGATTCAAAAGAGGAAACTTCGGCTGCAACGCAAGCAGGACGCCAAGCAAACGAGGACGTCTTGCGATAGTGGAGAAGAGATGCACCTTCCAGTACAACGAGATTGAGACTTAGAGCAGATGAGGACGCCTCATAAGACTGAACAGGGTCAAAATCAGAATGCGGTCGAGAAACAAGCAGGAGAGTATCTCTTAAAATTGAAGACGGACAACTTCGGCTACAGCACAATCGAGACCAGGAGTGGCCAAGCTGCGGCTCTTTGTGTGTTAAAGTGCGGCTTGTGGTCCACTTTCATAGAGCGTATCTACCCACCGGATCTGCGTAACAGAATAGCAAGCAATTTTTAAAAAAAACGTCTATACAAATAGTCCTGACCAGCCATGATGAATGGACACAATTACTCATGAGGCGAGCAAAATGCAAGATATTCCTTAGCCTAACCGTGCAATTTTACCCACAATTACTGCCAACTGGTAACAAGTGAAGTATGCTGCCGATTTGAAAAAGGAACACAAAAGACGAACTGAAGGCCAGCGGCTCTGAACAGAGTCTAAGAATGAGGTAAGAAAAACAGTTTAAAGGCGCACATATACCTCGAACCTTGAGTCCAATATCATAGGGATGGCCACGTGCTTCTTTTTTCAAAGCAGTAACCAGCTCACCTCGTGTCTCTGCAAGACAAAACATGCACATTGAGCTACATCTCAAAGTTGTGTTTGTCCCCCTCCCCCCCCCCCCCCCCCCCCGCCCCTTGTATCGAAGTTTATAAATATGACCGTTCACCCGCTAGCCTGCGCTATAACCCTTGTTTCAACAAGTCTTTTCTTCTATATTTTTACACATTAAATGCACCACCTAGTCGAACTTATGTGGTAAAGTTGTCGTAGCTTACAGAGCCGATTTGTTGTGATTTATTTTAAATGCCGTGGCTGCAATCTGGAGCGCCCTGTAGTTCAACAATGTAAAACCCTTTGCTTTTGCCGCCCAGTTCTTTACAAATCCGGCGCAAGGACATATTCGTGCCCACCACATTTCGCGAATTCTAGACGCCGGAACGGGGGACGCCGGAACGGGTGCCCACCAAATTTCCGTTTTCCACGTGTCCTTAAATTTCGCTAATTTTTGGACGTGTAGAATTTGCCAAAAATTAGGGGCTCGCGAACATTTGGGAGTTTTCGTAGACCTTGTTTCCCCCTCCGCTAATCTTTCCGCAACGAAGAAGTTACTAGGGAGTTTTAGTAGATCGTTTTCGAAGGTCTGCTACCGCTACGAGCGCGCGCTTCAGAGGGGTCCATACTACATGAGCGAATGGCATTTTAGCGAACAGCGACATTTGAGCGAATCGACATTTTAGCGAATAACGGGGGCGCGCGTTAACCCATCCGCCGGGCTGCGCTTTACGACGCTTCGCGGCGACAGTCTGCGGCGGCTCATTACAAAAATGTGAACCCATTTGGCCCACCCGAAAACGCCGCTTCGCGGCGTCCGACTATTCGCTAAAGTGTCATTCGGTGAAACGTGGGCGTTCGCTAAAACGTCCTTCGATCAAGTGAGTGCCTCCCGCTTCAGAGCATGCATCGAAGTGGCAGCGCGAGCTCCCGCTACGATTAGCGTGGCCTGAAAACACGATCTACTAAAACTCTATTACTGCGCCTGCACGCCGATAGCCTTTACTGTAAAGTTACAGGTATATAGCGAGTTGCGAAGGGCGTTGCGGGACGGCGAAAACGATCTACGAAAACTCCCTATTAACGGTTTGCAGTAAACGTTGTGCTTCGAGCCCCTGATGCGTAGAAAACAACTTACCATTCCCCGGCGCACGCTCCAACAGCCGCCCAGTAGACGCTTTTCGGCACGTCGGGGTCGAAGTCGGCAACGCTCGCCGGTTTGAACTTCTTGATACGAATCACGCTGTATTGCCTCCGCGCCATCAACATAAATCACGTACGCTTAGTACATATCGACACCGATACACACCGATCGAGATAGCCCTAACGTCAATGCGGCTTTGGTTCAGAGCACTGCACTGGCTGGCACTGGCCAGCTGGCCAGCGGCGCGGGCATAGAATTATTATAATGTACGCTAGAGGTTCAACTGGCGCTAGTGTGCTGCTGCAAATTGAAGCAGACAGCAACCAGTCCGAAATTGACTTCCGGTAATGCATTTCTATGGAAAAAAGCGAGTGCATTTTCTCGCTGTGCTCGATTATAAGAGCAAATATCTCAAATATTTCGTACGTACTGGCACATTGGAACATTTCTCAGTCACGCAGAAGAAATAATCGGTCAGTTACGGCGTTTTCATTTGAAATTCGTGGCATGAAAAACGGTGCTAAAACCGCTTCGTACATGCATTTATGTGCACTGTCGGACACTGTTACCGCGAACACGGCATCGGCGCTTTCCACCATGGGGGATATACGTGCCAAACGAACGAAGGACATCTGAAACACCAAGAGAGACGGCAAGAACTACGCAGTAACACTGAATAAGTAAGTCGTTGTGCATGCAGGCGATCAAAATAAATTGAAAGCCACGTAATATAGTCCGATTTGCAATAAATAAGTACTGCTTTATTCTTTCTGCTCATGAATATGTGCAAAGCTGCATGTTTTGGGTTCGAATCATCAACCGCACGCTCTAAATATTTGCAAATAGGGAAAAGTCGGAAAACAGGTGCCCGATAAAAACTCCCCGGCATAGGAGATAATAAAAAGGCACACCTTTCGCAGTCAACGTACTTTATTTCTTACATCCGAATGTTTTTTAACCGTCGTAAAGATGCACGACGGAGTCATTTTCATAGAGTGACCGGACGGGCATATTAGCAATATATAAGCGCCACCGCATTGCTAGCGAACCTTGAACACACTCTACATTCTTTTCGATCGTTAGTTTGCTTAGAATCGTCGCTTGTTCTTACATACCTGCCATGAAACATAGGTTTGGGCCTGAAATATAGCGAAGCTTAACACCCTTTAGTGGTAATGAAAAATGCTGTAATTAAAGCAATTACACTTTTACAATATTAATAAATGTACATACTATCCGGTACGACCGAAATAATAAAAGTTATTCATGTTATTTTCCGGCGAAGAGACAAAATGCACGCGCGTTTTCTCATAGGAATGCACAGGAGCACCGCAAAAGTAGACTGGTTGCTGTCTGCTTCAATTTGCCTTCCGGAAGTCGCATAGACACTAGCGCCAGTTGAAGCTCTAGCGTACATTGTAATAACTCTATGGGCGCGGGACCCCTCTACCTCGTTGGCGGGTACATAAGGATTGGATTGGATTGAAGAAATAATCAGCCTTGGTTTATATTAGTACTATTATTACTCAAATGAGTTTTAAAACATTTAAAAGCATAAAAACTTGCCATGTTAAGTTTATTTCTTGTTAAGAAAAACATTGTTTGTCCGTCGTTGGTGGTGTTTCTGCACTCTGGCTTGCAGCTACGAAATCCAATCCAATCCGATGTCAATAAACCGAAACCGAAACTACCGCGGTACAGGGCTCAAAGCTATGAAGCAAACTCTCGTTTATCTAGGCCTCGCTTCCCATGGATTTGGTTTTCGCATTTTATGACTTTCAATATGCGTGTCTTATAATGGTTGAGTTTGATAGCTGAAACTGTTAAATTGAAATGACCTAATATGTGATTTTCTGAATAAAATTCTTTATTGAAAAAAATATCACAGTTTGGTTTCGCGGTGCGCGCGTTCCCGTCGAGGTCTGATAATTTTTGGTCGCGTTAAATAGAACGATCTCACCGGCCAGTTTGACTACGCCACCGCTGCCGCAATGCAGCGAGGGAGCTTTAGTCTTTGGGCACGTGCGACAACCTCGCTGGAGCTCTTCACGTGTAGAGCACGAGAAGGCAGGAGCTCTCGCGTGCACGGCCTCCTGCCTCCTGTGAACTGAAGTTATGCCGGCTTTACGCATGCGCCCAACGCTTAGTGAGATCGGTCTATTGTGTATACCGGTAGAGCCTGTACAAGGTTGCCGACCGCCGATTTAAGTTACGGCGCTGGTAATGCGTTACCGGTCGCTCTGATTCGTGGTTGCTGTTAGCCGCACATCGATTACTGGCCACCGGTACGTTATTACGGCCCACCAGTGTGGCGTACCGGCTTCGCCTGTACGTGTTCACTCGCCGCCTGTACATGATATGGGCAACCGGTACGACGTATCGGCTTCGCCGGTACGTGGTTACCGGCTACCGCTGTGGCCTACCTGCGGTGCCCGTACATGTTTACCGGCCGCCTGTACATGGTATGGGCAGCCGGTACGGCGTATCGGCTTCGCCAGTACATGGTTACAGGTCGCTGGTACAGAGCTACCGGTTACCGATATGAGAATACAGGACTCCGGTGTGAACCGGTATAGACCGGTATACATTTGTACAGGTTTTTTTCAGTAGGGTATGGTCTTGTCTTTGTTTTGTTGAAACGATAGCAGACGTAATAAATATAGTTATTCGGTTTGCCAGAATTTACATAAAAAATGATACCTTTGTTTTTAGAAATTACCACGTAAAGCTTGGTTTCGAATCCTATCGGCATGAGGAAAGTGCTGAAATTGACTACTGCTGCCATGAACTTTGGAAGTCGCCGTCTAAAGTATTTTTTACTTAGGAAAAGGTAAGAACTCTTACATTTTGTTTATTTGTAGAAGCAAGCACGAGTACTGTGAAAGGCCAAGATGTTACAGTGTAGAGACAAATAGCGAGGCGCAACATTAATAACCGTCAAAATCACAATCGTCTTGTGCCAGGTGCCTGCAAGGAGACACGAGTGCACTAAACGAAACTCGTTAACCTTGCAATCTGACGGGCTTGCCACACCTGAAGAAACACGAAAGCAGCCTGCAGGTCTGCGAAAACCCATCAACGAAGCACGAGATAGTATTAGTCTTAAGTGAACAAAAAAGAGTTGTAGCGGGGTGTTGATGTAGATACTAATATAATGAAAGCTACACGTATGTCCTTGACTCTTCTTTTTGTTCACCTTTCATTATAATATTAATTCAAGAAGACACATCTTGTGAGCACGCGACAGCATGTACTTTAGAAATGTACATGTTGTCTTGGAAAGTGGTGGATTCGGCCGCTATTAGGTTACCTTTCAGTGACTCTGCTTAATTTTAATCAAGTAAAATTTACAACGGGGAATTCACGCAGAAAACATTATAAACATTAATAAAAAGACTAACCTGTCTGATTTACATGAGGCTATCTGCATGCAGGACCGGTAACTAAACTGGTTCCCTCTATGCACATATGACCTGTATTTATACAAGACCTGCATGCATTAGAATATCTGGATCATAGACGCCTATGCGTGCAGGCGTAAATGTATGCAAACAGCAGTATACACGCAAACCGGCTCGACTATTTGCATGTCGTTGCCAGATAAAACCGCTTAAGTGGTAGTCAACAATTGACAAAGAAAAATGTGAGTTTATCAAGAATAATGTGAAATGTGCAAGATGCGCTTCAAAAGAAGCTGCCCAGACTACTAAACAGAATAAATACCGATAATATGAAACTACAAGACAAGATGTTCAAAACACTTTGGGGCTAATTCAAATCCCACAAAACTTATGTTGTCTCAAAAAATGTTATGTAAGATTGAAGAGTTTAATTACCCGTGGGCGTCGCTCTGTTTACCTCACATTTATTTCGAGCGTTCTTAATCTCCTTTTATTTGCTCGTGTGATATACCAATGTGTTTGTCTTTAATTCCATTCCCCATGTTAAACATAGAACTGAATGTTGATCTTTCTTCTACTCCTTGCAAATCCTACTGCTGAGTTTTGTTTTTAACGATGGAAATGAAACTGCGTGTAGATTGTTCTTTGGATTGCGCGGCACAAATGTCAATCCGGGGAGCTTATGCCTGCGTCAAGCTGTTCTTATAAGAGTTTTTTCACAGGCTTCCTGCATAACGTACGTATTACCCGATCGATATAAAATAATCAATTTAAATCAAGAAAAAATTAATAAATTACGTTGATAGTTTTATAATGAATGTATAGAACTGCTACACCACGCAAAATTGTATCTAAGTCTTCGCTTCTCGGTTTCGGTCAATGCGTAAGTTCTGTAAATATAACCACACCTCTCTTGCTGTAATCCTTAGTAGGCTGCTGAATATCTAAAGAATTGAAGACTTTTTAGCGTACAGAGAGATTCGCACATATACTTTCCACGCACGGGTTTTGTTTCTTTTCAAGACACCCGTATGGTATGGAGCGCCGAACGACTAATAACTAATATTGTATATAAAGTTCTACGGCGAGAGGTTTTGTGAATTAATCGAAAGCTCTTATTAACAGCATGTTAAAACTTTACACCTGTATCTATTCTACAAATAAAAAATATATACAATCCTACACCAAGCTTACCTTTCGACAGTAACGTACGGCTCCTTGTCGTAACCTCATTGTAGTGAAATTCTTTCGGTCGTACCAGGAAGTTATTAAAAATTCAGTGATAGCAAATCGAGATTTCAATTGTTTGATTGGTCGAACATATCTTTGTCCGAATATTATGCAAAAAACCTTGACTGTTCTCAAAATATTAATAGATCTCAATTTTCATAAATAGAAACATCTGTGCGCCTGGGTCTTGATATTTTTTGTTGCAGATTACACGTGCCTGTGTACCGTGTATATATCTATTCGCTTTGTTTACCTTATGCATTTGGGGATTGTTGAGTACAGGCAAACTGACTTTTGATGTGAAATATCCGCTAAGAGATTGTCGATGAAATTTTGAAATGGTATGGCGGTATACCAGTATGGGACACCGGACTGCTAGGCCAGCCCACTGTTCCGTGGTTATCGCATACAGGTACCGGATGTTAGGAAGTTTTAAGGAACCGTTCTTTCACACCGAATGTGGTACGATGGGCTCTGCGGTACGAACTGCGTATGTGCAAGTCTTCTGCAATAGAATATGCGCAGTTCGTACCGAACGGCCCATCGTACCGCATCGGATGTGAAAAACGGTCCCCTAAAACTCTCTGTTTGTCTTTTGTAGGGAGATAGCAGTACCTTTACATGGATAGCGATCGCCTGTATATACAAATGGTTCTCGATAGTATTGTACCGGCGTGCCTGCATTTTTTTACTGGCGACAAGTAAGCCCCTGTCGTCGGCCAATATCGGATAGAGGGTGACAGGTGGCCTGTACCGGCGACTGGTATAACTTTAAGGGTGGCCGGTACGTATATATTTGAGGCCGGTGTGAACATATATGTAGACTAGTCTATGGTTTTACGTGAGGTTTATGTAGGGTTAATGCGATGTTAACTTTTCTATTAACACCCCCATCTTTTCGCATATTTTTGCATACACACTTGATGTTACACTAGATGGGGGTACCGGGCAAAGCACACATGCCCCTGAGCGCAAAATGTTGTCACACAAAAAGATGAGGATTTCATTCCGAATAATCAAATCATTCAATGTCGCTATGAAGTCGACAACGGTGTATCATTACCTCATAATTGTTCGTTTTCAGGAGTTACAGTTCGGTCCCTTTGGAAACCATTGATTCCCATGCTCTTAGGGCTGTTTACAAAGAAAACTTTCTACCACGGACGTATATGGAGATGTATGGCCATTTTACAGGGAACGTTTCTACTTTCCATAAAGAACTTCATGATCTATTTCGATCAGGTAAACTACATTTTGAATTTGGAATGTGAATTTGTCTATGTTTCAGTGTTGTACCTCCTAGAATTACCCAGAGGGGAAGATGTATATTTGTTGGCTATTTTTTGTGTTAATATATGTACGCGCACGCTGCGCGTAGACGCCTGGTTGGAAAAGAGCGTTTACCCTGTAATAGCCGGTGGCTGTTGGCGTGCTGCGACCGCGCCACAACGTTGAGAGGGAACATGCAGCATTTTGTTTTTCGCGACGGCGGGGCGCCAAGGGAGGTTCACAAGACGGCGGGGCGGGTTCCTTAAGTTAAAAACGACCAGCGCCCTTGTTGCAGCATATTCGGTGCATGGTCTTCGTACTACGCACGGCGGTAAGCTATAAAGACTGGCTGGGGTGGAAGACGCTTATATCAAGCGATGTTAGGGTATGAAGCATAACTTTAGTTATTTGTGCACAGCAGTATGTACAGCAGAAGCCAATCATGATTTTTGTAACAATGTTGTACGGCGTTACGTCATATAGAACGCATCTATGAAAATGGCGAAGGTACGTACCTACCGTGCGAACTGGCGTCGTGCTTTCTACCCAGACTTGAACGTAGTTCAACTTCTATGCTCAAACTACTCTATACTCGGCGACAACTTTTCTTGGCAATGCAGTGGAAGGTACGTCCCGCGTCCCCTCTCCTATTTTGAGTGTACGAAGGCTCTCCTCCTCTCCCCGGAAATGGGGGAGGAGGAAAGCCTTCGTACACTCAAAATGGGAGAGGGGACGCGGGACGTACCTTCCACTGCATTGCCAAGAAAAGTTGTCGCCGAGTATAGTTTAACTACTTTTCCGCGAGTAACTTTGTAACTTTCAATTACAACTTTATTGTGGTAATTAGTAGCTTACTTTAACTACGTTTTTAGGTGACTTTTGCTCAAATTACTAACTATTTTCGAAATCTAGTGCTAATTTTGCTTGTCACAAAAGTTTGAGCACAGAAATAAATAAGACGCCAGCAGATGAAGTGGCATACCCGAACAAGGGGCCCCCTCACATTCCGTTCCCACGCACTTATACCCAGTAGCCGTAGAAACTGCATCACAGCCGTCCTTGGGCCAAGGTGGCGACGAGCAGCCAAAACATATCACCGGCGCGCACGAACGCAGGAAGAGGTGCTTATCAAGCCTTGGTCAAGTATTGACCTAATTTGGTAATGCACGCAGGCGCCGCGCCTCCAGCTACAACCGTGAAAGACGGGGACACTCCGAAAGTTGTTGTTGTTTTCATGTCTGCTTTAATGAGTTCTGCCCTCAAGCGGTTTGGGCGTTTCATGGGGGAAGTCACTGGAATGACCTCGCAGCAGGGCGCCTGTACCCATGGTCGCCTCGTCGTCAGCGCATACTCACTTGCAACGCCGGACTCCCCTCGCACAAACGCAGACGCGGATAATCCGTTCATGGGAGCCCGTTCCCGCTTCCAGCTGCAACTATACGAGCGACGATGCTTGTTCACGTAATCCTTCGCGTCCTTCCGACCTTCCACGCCAGGGAGACCTCCTCTTTGTTGAAAACGATTTACTTGTCAGGCTTGTCAGGCGCGTCAGGATACCGTAGTTGGCAACGAGGATTGCGAGCCACCCTTGGGAGATCCTTTTGTTGAACCCGGCGTCAGCGGCGAAGGATACTTCATTTTATCTTCTGTTAAACCAAAACAATTTTTTAAAGTAATATGGCACTAGGGCGCCTTCATGCCCAGAAGCGAACATGAAGGCACTCTACGTAGCACTAGCACTGCAACGAGACGCGCAGTCGTCCGGATGATCTCATCGTCGTGGCGCGAGACTTGAACCCTTGATGGCCAGGTGCACTTGCTCAGCGTACTTTCCAAACGTCGTGGGAATAAAGAGGGGCCAGTCATAACAATCTCAACTTGCCGAGGAAAAAAGGTGCAAAGTTTGTTTTACAAGACCCAGTAGCAGATGCAAACCTCACATGTTTCGTCATGGACACCTAAGATGCCGACACTCGCTTACCCGACCATGCACAGTCTGTTTCTGAAATTCAACGCTGCCGTGCCATCCAGAGCGTCGGTGGAACGCCTTTTTAGCTTGGCTGGGGAAGTCTTTAGGAGGAAAAGGAAAAAAACTATCCTATAACAACTTTGAAAGTCAATTGCTTCTGCGAGCAAATTAACTATTTTGGTGAAAACGCAAACCATAAAATGACTGCATTTATTTTAGGCTCGCAGGGTTTTTCACGGATCCAAACTGCTGTTCATTTTGCTACCACAAAGATATAAAAAGTAACTTCGAAAGTAGCTTTAAAGTAACGCGCTACTTTTTTACAGTAGTTAGTAGTTTACTGAATTACTAGTACAAATGCGTAATTTCTACTCTTCTCCAATTACTTTTGGTGTCAATACTCCGTAACTTAACTTAACTACCTTTTTTGAGTAATTCGTACATGTCTGCTTCTACCCTTAGCAAGATAGCGGTGGACACCCAATTACGTGTATCACGCGCGGCCATCTTGATGTGGCCATGCCGGTTTTGCTTGAAGAGCGCCGAAGTCACTCCAGCAATTCTTTACTTATCCTCCTTACGGTTAATGGCACCGACGGAGTGTAGTCAACGTGGCATGTCTGGACGTTGACCACTGAGTGACGACGCTATGAAAACGTAAGACCACATATAAGCCATTGCGGACTCAATTGTTGTGGTGCCGGAATCCTGAAAATGTTAATATTTAACTTGTTACTTTGGCCAACTGGGTTCGAACAAGTGAGTCGACGATTTTCTTTGATATTCTTATCTGTGTAGTATTGTACTTCCATTAAGGCCACCCGCTTTTCCCGTAACTAAGAAAAATAGCAGTACACACTCAGATTAAGACATCCTTTGAGGTTGTCAAACGATTCGTGAGGCCGCTGATCTTTGTAATGTCATTACCGGCCACAAGATTAAAAAGAGAGTTAACATTCTTTAGTGGTAAACGCATTTCTTTTGCTTGCCCGTACCTAGAGCCCAGAGTTTCTTGAGCTAATTTTTGCTTTATCGTGATGTGTGAGAAGGACAAATGCGAGTTAGTGCTTGCAAACCGACTAGATAATGTTCATGCACGATTACGAATGAAAGTTCGGGCAGGAGTTCTTTCAAGTTCGCAGACGGACACTGATGTCTCTTCGCGGAAGAATGCGACCATACATACCGGAAAGAAAGACATGTATATCACGCTATACTGGAGAACAATAAACTTCGAACTCGCTTGCCGGGGTATGCTTTGAGCCAGACGGCTGCCGTCGGTTCTCAATTTCAAATGCCCACCCATACCCTCTTCCAACTCCACGGAGAAACCTTCCGCTTCTTTCTTTGCCTAAACTGCTGCATAAGGTGGCTGAGAAGGAGGAAAACATGTGATCCTGCGGCGTTCCAAGAGTTGAAAGAAAAAAACAATTGTCGGCATATGTGTGAATTTATAAAATTTTACGCAAAAAGCGTTCATAAAAACTCTTCCCCCTCCTCTTTCTCCGGGCACAAAGAGAAGAAGACTTAAGTGCAAATTGCGAAGGATTTGTGACTGTATAAATGCTGCAGCTAGCGTTCCGTTCAAATGGAACAATAACCACCGCTAGCGTTACATTGAGCCAGACCGCGACTAAAGTTCCGCCCAGACGGAACGATAACCATTATTAGAGTTCCGTCCAAACGAAACGTTGACCACGACTAGTTTTCCCTTCGGATCACAGATCGTCAAGACACCGTAGTCCAGACCAAAATTATCTGGACTACGGTGTCATTTTCGGTCTGGACTGCAATCCAGATAAAAAATGACACCGTAGTCGATTTCTCTTTAGGACAAAAAGTCTTCTATCCTTTTAATCGAAAGTCTAACGACGTCCGGCGTTGCTCCATCTGTATTGTCAAGTGATTTAACCCGCCGGGTTACCTAGGATTCAGCCAGTATTTTATAAGAAAACTATTGATCAGCGCCCACACCATGGTTGCAGAAAAAAACGGAGAGGAAGGCGTGATCCAATACCAGTGCTCAGTACTAGCGACTCTATCTAATATCACTTACCAGACGTACCACGACCTAGACTGAATATGGCTAATATCGGCTGCCCCGAGAGACAGAACGCGATACTGCGAAAAAGAAAGCAGACGAAATGTGAGACCTGTTCGCTCTTCCGAGGCACGTTATTTGTTGGTTTTGTTCTTGAATACGATGCTTGATGCCGGGTTCTTTACTACATTATATAATGCCGAAGTATCTTTCCCAATACCAAAACCAATACTTTGGCTAAAATTAAACATTTCAGTTGAGGTAGACTTAATACTGGGGTATGCAACATTATCAGTCTACCATAAAATCAACGGAATCATAAAATTGGGAACCTATAAGAAATAGTCATGTTGGTAAAATTAATCTTAGTCTCCGTGTTAAATCTCTGTATTATCGAGGATTACAAACGTTGTTCCCTACAGACAGAGAAAGATAAACCAAGGGGTGCATTTGTGTTTCTTACAGTAATGAACAATGACGCTTTATATCTACAAATTGCTAATTACTGAAACAGAAATATACTACAAAAATTATCAAAAATGAAAAAAAAACGCGCTCCCAAGAAGTCTGATGTTAAATACCATATCTGCACTCAAAAACACCTAGTAAAACCCTTCTCATAGTGAAAGAAATATTATATAAATATGTGTTGTGTATCTTCCCTACTGAAAAAAACCATTTGGCGCCCATATGAAAATAAACGGGTCCATACCGGTAACCGTTTAACCATACTGGTCACCAGTTTGTCAAAGGGGTCGCCCGTATGGCTCAAAGGGGTCCCCCGTATGAGAAATAACGGTCACCTACTTGGCAAACGGGTCGCTCGTCTGGGCAAATGGGTGACTCGTTTGGGCAAAGTTGACGCACGTTTGCTCAAACCGGCGACCATGTTGCAAACTGCACCGGTTTAATCAAACGGCTCTCCGGAGCCCGTTTGATATTGAACGTACAGATCGGCGGTGT